AGGAAGATATCTCTTGTGAATTTTTTCTGACACTTCTAATGGATTCATCAAATACAAATGGAATCTTGCAAGAATGGAGGGGGCATGAATAAATAAATAAAACTGTGATCTTACAAAACCTTAGTTTGCACACTTCACACTTACACATGAGTCAGCAGCTATCATCTTCAGTCAGTTCATGGTGGATAACTTCATCCTCAGTTTGACATATTTCATATTTTATTTGCACCAACGTGTGATCACAGAAAACAAAAGATACTGAGCACAAGAAATCCATATCATACACAGCAATTTCCACTCCACAATATAAACTTTGTGTGTCATGAGACGAAAAACATTTTGGGTCCTGTTTTTTTATAAAGATACAATTAATTCTGAAAAATTAATTAATTTAAGTGACCAGTTACATTTACTCTGCACTATAGCTCCGGTCTCATATCACTACACTGGTAGAGGCTGAACGGCGACAGCCCACACAGTGAGTTCCTGTAGAAGAAAGCCCATCCACAAGCCGAATTTGAGAATATAATTTATTAACACTCCAAGGTGGATGCTTCAAAATGTCTATGATACATATTAAATTATCAAATACAACAAATAATTTAATAAAATCAATGTACAATGAACAGAATATAAACAAAAATAAATATAAGTATCTTTTATTGTGTGATAACAAGAAAAAGCTGAAGGATTTGGCTTCACAATAACTTTCCATCTACAAGCCCCTCATCGGATGCCCGAGAAGAGATTCAGGCTGGATCTATTCTCCTAAAACAGAAGTTGAAAATCACAATAAATATTTTTAAAAAATTCTATAAATATAAATGTCATGTTAAAAAAATGTGATCCATTAGAAAATAATTTTTCCCACTGAATAAACTGAGCACTCACCTTCTGCGAATGAGCTCTGCTGAACACATCCCAGAAGCAAATAGTCCCATCCCCATCGGCAGTTACAATTGTTTCCCCATTAGGAGATACTGCCAGATGGAGAACTCTGGATGAGTGCCCGGTGAGCTTTGCAAGCTGTCTTAGGCTGGGATAATTCCATACACATAT